CAGTGGTTAAGTGCATGGCTGCTAAATGGAAAGGTTGGTGTTCAAATCTACCAGCCATTCGGCTGGAGAAAGATGAGACAGTCTGCTTCCATAAAGAGTACAGCCTTAGAAACCCTAGGTGACAGTTATACTCTTCCCTATAGGGAACCCTATAGGGTTGCTATGAGTTGGAAACTACTTGATGGCAATTAAGTTTGGTTTAGATGGCAAAACACAAAACAAAACAAAACCCAACACCCCCTCTTTTTTTGGCAGGGAAGAGGGAAAATTTAAACTTCCCAAAGAATGTTGATCTTCTTAAAAGAAAGTACCACTTTAAAAAGTAAACCATTTTTTCTTTACAGGTCTAAGCTCCAGCCAGTTTGAACAACACAATTTAGCAAAATCTATGTTCTATGCTTAGCCGACCCCTCTGTGAGAGGATGGTCCCTTGAGTAACAACAAGGAGGTTTTGAGCAGTGGGGGACTTTGCAGCAGGCAGCCTGCCTTTGTACTTACAGAGGAGGTGGCCAGAGCTACATCCAAAACACACGTTTCCCCTCACCCACTTACTGCAGCTTTGAGTCCCCATTGTCTGGCATTTCAAAGGTTCAAGCTTAGTGGCCCAATGCAAGGGGAAGCCTGATACACACACCTCCTGGGGTGAAAGGAGTCACCAACAGACTCACACAAACCCGTTTAGGAGAAGACAACAGTGGTTGTTATGGTGGATGCAAGGAGCTCCACAAGTATGTCCCGAATGTGGGAGGCCACAGCAGCTGCCTCCCCTCGAGACAGCCTGTGGGGCTCCTGCCAGTGGCCACAGTGACTTGCTGGCCTTTGTCAGCTGCCACGCCTTGCCTGGTGCTAGAGCCCCAGCCTGGCACAGGAGGCCATCCAAGTCACCAGCTCCAGTGAACGCCAAGTCCGGTGCCCATGCTGGGTCCACATGGCCACCTGGAGCCCTCCTCTAGGGCCATCCCCCAACAGCACTTAAATGCACATGTCCAACTAGTAGTGTCCTTGGCTTGGGGAAGGGCAAATTTTCTTTTGTTAATGCCAACCATGTGCTCAGGACTGTGTAGTAAGCCATGTGCATTATCTCAATATACTTAAATGTCATTAGTTGCCATTGAGTTGATTGCAACTCATGACGACCCCATGTGTGCAGAATAGAAATGCTCCATAGAGTTTTCAAAGCTGTGACCTTTTGGAAGCAGATCACCAGGTCTGTCTCCCAAGGCACCACTCAGTGAGTTTGAACTTCCAACCATTTGGCTGGCAGTTGAGCACTTAACCTTTTGTGCCACCTAGGCTTCTCTGGGTTGAACAGTGTCCTCCAAAATTCACACTTTGCCCAGAACCTCAGATTGTGACCTTATTTTAAAATACAGCCATTGCAGGTGTAATGAATTAAAATGAGGTCATACTGGAGCTAGATGTGTAATGAATTAAAATGAGGTCATACTGGAGCTAGATGGGCCCTTAATCCCATACAACTGGTGCCGTTATAAGAAAAGGAGAAGAGACACACAGGGAAAAATGTCATGTGATGATAGAGGCAGAGATTGGAGTAATGTGTCTACAAGGCAGGAAATGCCAAGGATTGCCAGCATCACCAGAAGCCAAAAGAAAAACAAGGAACAGATTCTCCCTTAGAGCTTTCAGGAAGAGCCTGATGCTGCCAGCACCCTGAATTCAGATGTCTAGTCACCAAAACTGTGAGAGAACAAATTTCTATTGTTTTAAGCCACCCACTTTGTGGTACTTTGTTATAGCAGCCCTAGGAAACTAATATGACAACCTTGAGAGAGAAAAAATATTTACTCCTATTTTATTGATCAGCTAAGCAAGGCTTTCCAAGTGATGCAAATGGTTAACATCCTGGACTTCTAACCAAAATGTTGAAGGTTCAAGCCTATCCAGAGGTGCCTTGCAAGAAAGGCCTGGTGATCTAATGCCAAAAGATCAGCCACTGAAACACTATGGAGCACAGTTCTACTATGACACACATGGAGTTGCCATGATCTAGGGCTGACTCAATGGCAACTGGTTTAATGGAGTCTCAGAGAGATAAAGGGACTTGTCCAAAGCCATACCACCTAGCTGTTCATTCTGGTTCCAACAGTGAGACTTTCTTTAGTCTCTGAGATTCTTTCCACAGTCCTGCTCAAGAATGGGGCCACCCTTCTCCACTCCAGAACACTTGCCACACTCAACTTTGCACTCCTCCTTGCAGCCAACTGAACCCATAAAGTTAACTCAGTTGGAAGTTCTGTTCCAAGATTTATCTCCTTTTGATCATCTATTGGGTTCTTGATCAAAGTATTTGGGTCGTGGTAGCCAGGCAACATATATTTCTTCTGGTTTCATGGCAAAGAAAGTAGTAGTTCATGGAGGCAGTTGGACCTGCAGTCCATTTTTTTCTTTAATTCCTGGTATAACTCTTTATGGTTCATTACCATCCCCACCAATCCATTATTCTCTAGGAGACACATGTGCAGCTCAGCAGGAACAATAGGGATCACAAAAGTCCAGTTCGCTGGAACCATGAGCACCAAATGTAAAACTGTCCAAGAAAGAAAAGGTTTTGAAAAGCTTAGTGTTTTAACAAAAGGTGAAAAGGTTAGTGAGGTGTTAAATTTGACTGTGTGATACTTTCAAGGCCATTTCCTTGGTCCCACTCCTGTGTCCCCAGTATGGTCTGCTGGGGACTCAGCTCCTTTCTTCTGTGGCCCCCTTCTCTCTCCCTAACTGAATCCCTCCCATGTCAGGTCAGGCCTCCCTGAGGTTCAGGGGGTCCTACCAGCTTACTGCCCTCTATCGAACCTGGATGAAATGGGGGCTCTTACAGTAGGGTTGGGAGTTTGTGTATTCCAAGGGTTGAGCTTGTGAACTAAAGGGGATTTTAGACACAAGCATTGTGCTCTCACTTTGGATGTTTGGGGAAATGCAGAAATGAACAAGTACCCTCAAGACAGTCACAGCTGAACACAAAAACATTGATATAACACAATCTAGGATAAGAAGAAATGCTGTAATTGTTCAACAAATGTGATGGGAAGAGGAAGAAGATGAGAAATCACAAAGACTTTGAGAACAAAGTAGTGTTGGAGCTGACCCTGAGGTGTGAGCAGGATGTTACAGATGGAGCTGGAGGTCTGAAGAGGAGACCAGTTGGAGCCTACAGGTCAAATATTGGTGGAAGAAACCAAAAACACAGAGAATCTGAAATCAGCAAGCATGACCAATGACCTCATAAAGCCCATGGTGGACAAGTCGCTCTTACACCACAGAACACCAAGGTGAAGGAAGCACATGTTCTTTCTGTTACACTCCAAATCTATGCTGTTCAGTAGAACTTTCTGCAATAATGTTGTTGTTAGGTGTCGTCGAGTCAGCACTGATTAATAGTGACCTTAGGTACAACAGAACAGAACACTGCCTGGTCCTGTGTCAGACTCAAAATGCTTGCTATACTTGAGCCCATCATTGCAGCCACTGTGTCAATACATCTTGTTGAGGGTCTTCCCCTTTTTTGCTGACCCTCCACTTTACTGAGCATGATACCCTTCTCCAGGGAGTGGGCCCTTCTGACAACAGGACCAAAGTAGGTCAGACAAAGTCTGTCATTCTCACTTCTAAAGAGCATTCCAGCTGCACTTCTTCCAGGGCAGATTTGTTAGTTCTTCTGGTAGTGATACTGCCTCGGAAACCCAAGGAGGGGTCGCTATGAGTCGGGGCCGACTCGACGGCACATAACAACAACAACAACAACTGGTAGTCCATGGTACTTTCAGTATTTTTTTTTGCCAACAAACACCACAACAAGAAAGCATTAACTCTTCTTCCATCTTCCTTGTTCATTGTCCAGCTTTCACATGCATATGAGGCTACTGAAAATACCATGGTTTGGGTCAGGCACACCTTAGTCTTCAAAGAAACGTCTTTGTTCTTAAGTACTTTAAAGAGGTCTTTTGCAGTAGATTTGCCCAGTGCAATAATAGACATGGTTTAATAGACATCTCTGTCCAATATGGTAGCTACTAACTACATGTGTCTACTGAACACTTGAAATGAAGGTCAATTTTTAACTTAATTTCATTTTAACTTATTTAAATTTAAATTAGCCACATGTGACTAGTGGCTACCATACTGGACAGCACAACTCTAGAAGTTTCAATACCAAAAGGCCTTCTCCCCCTTGCCATTTTGCCCTGCCATAATGACAAGCTGCAGTATTATGCCCTGGTGTCAGAGATAGGGGAATTCCACAGCCAGTGCAAGTAATGCTATTTTATTTGGAAAAGACTAAGAGTCAGTGCTAATCTCAATAGATACAAGTGTGTGGGGTCTGTTTTGTGTCTTCTGATAGAAGGCCAATTTCTGCATGAGCTTCTGCTTTACCAAAAGTCAAATATTAAAAAGTTTGAAGCGTGAACAGAGTACACGTTCCTTTTATGGGAGGAGAGAAACCTAACCCAAACGGCTTAGTCTCTAAAGAACTTTTAATCAGAGGGATGAGAAAGGGAGGGAGGCAGTGGCAGGGAATATTTGATACCACTGCTGTTGAGTCCTAAAATTTAGTTCTGAGAACCTGGCAGAAAATCTTTTTTTAATTTTTTAATTACATGTATTAAAAAAGAGAGTCAGAGAGCAGCTGGAGGGAGACACATGAGTCTTAGCCTCACCAACGCAACCGGCCCTCCGGGAACTCCCATCACAGCACCCGGAAAACGCGTCTGCGAAGACCCTTGCCCCCGAGCTCACAATAACCTACTTGAGCCGCGCCAGTGGCACCTCCGCTTGGGGGCTGCGGCGCGGTAGCCAATGAGAGTGCGCCTGCGTCCAGCTTCGCGCACTGATTGGTGGCGCCTCGCCGCTCGCGGGCCCGCAAGTTCCCAAGCCCGGTTTAAAGGGGTCGGACGCGGGCTGCTTCCCAGCCATCGGATTCCCGCGCGCAGGTCTGCGGGGAGGGGCGGCCTATCCTTAGGCCCACCCCGGGGCGTTCCGGAAGGGCGCCCTCGGCCGCCCCTAACGCCCCTCAGATGTACTATGCGGTTTCCCAGGCGCGCGTGAACGCGGCCCCCGCGACCATGTTACGGCCACAGAGGCCTGGAGACGTGCAGCTCGGGGCCTCCCTGTATGAGCTGGTGGGCTACCGGCAGCCACCCTCTTCCGCGTCCTCCTCCTCACCGGCCCCCCTCCTACCCAAGGCGGCGCGTGAGAAGCAAGAGGCTCCGGCCGAGTCGCGGGGCACCGGGACTGGGCCCGGCGCGCACGCAGGCGCCCGGGTGGACGCCAAGGAGGAGCAGCAGCAACAGCTGCGGCGCAAGATCAATAGCCGCGAGCGGAAGCGCATGCAAGACCTGAACCTGGCCATGGACGCTCTGCGCGAGGTCATCCTGCCGTACTCAGCGGCGCATTGCCAGGGCGCGCCGGGCCGCAAGCTCTCCAAGATCGCTACGCTGTTGCTCGCCCGCAACTACATCCTGTTGCTGGGCAGCTCGCTCCAGGAGCTGCGCCGCGCGCTGGGCGAGGGCGCTGGGCCCGCCGCGCCGCGCCTACTGCTGGCCGGCCTGCCGCTGCTCGCCGCCGCGCCTGGCTCTGTGCTGCTAGCGCCCAGCGCCGTAGGGCCCCCTGATACGCTGCGCCCAACCAAGTACCTGTCTCTAGCGCTCGATGAGCCACCCTGCGGCCAGTTCGCGCTCCCCGGAGGTGGCGCGGGCGGCGGCGCGGGCGGCCCGGGCCTCTGCACCTGCGCGGTCTGCAAGTTTCCGCACTTGGTCCCCGCTGGTCTGGGCCTGGCTACTGTGCAGACGCAGTTCTCCAAGTGAGAGAGGCCCGGGTTCCGGCCTCGGGGCGCAACCAGGCCTGGCCTTCCGCCCCCCTGCGTCTCTGTTCCCCCGCGCCCCGGGAGAGCTGAGCCGAAAAGGAGGGCATTTCGGACCTTCTCGCCCAGAAGAAGGGACAGTCCGGCACCCCCTTCCCCGTATCCTCCCCTGGAAAATTAAAGCGACCAGAGCGATTGTTCGACGGAGCGTGGAGCTTTTTGGGGTTCTGAGTCGATTCCAACTGCTTTGGGCAGGAAGAGCGCGCATCCTCCTCCCCATCCCGCACATCTCTTTGTGTCCCTAGAGTTGTGCGATCGCGGGGTTGGTGTGGATTTAGGGCGCCGTGCGGGGGGTGGGGCGTTTGGCTCGCCTTACGTGGTCAGCCGGGAATGCAACCTTTCCCGGGACCCAGCCCTGACACTAGCAGGGGCGACGTCCGCCAAGCCAGAGGTCCAGGGCTGCTTTAGGAGGGGTTTCTTTTCCTTCTTCCAGGCCGCAGGCAATAAGTACCTTTGTTTTAACTGGCCAAGCCTATCAAAGTAGGCTGCCAGACTTCAAGATGCCGGAAGAAGACCAGTTAGTCGGTGCAGACCATCAGCAGCTTTGCAGACGGACAGACACTTGGTGGTGGGATGGTTGGCATCGCAGCGCTGCGCTGCCAACTCCAGGGCCATTGGGTGTGGTGGGCTGAAAAGTCGGTTCGCTTTTGTATCCTGGCTATTAGAGTGCATTGTTTGAGAATCGCATAACCAGGTGTTTTGTTGGGGAGATTATTCGCTATTAAATCCTGGCGTTTTAGGAAGCCAGTTTAGAACTCGAGATTGTGCCCCTCCCAAGGTAGCGTAACCAACATTTGAGCTTTTCAAAAAACAAAAACCAGTCCAACGGTGTTCTTAGTTTACTAAAATAGGTAACAGGGCATTTCGCAGTTGCAGTCTTGTAAGAAAGCACGGTCACTAATTATCGTTCGATCTCGTTAAAAGACGCAGAGCAGAACTCGGGAGCCCCAAAGCGCCCGCCGGTTGGCGATACCGCTGCAGCTACGGCGGCTGCACCTCACTTTTTGTGCGGTCCTGCCTGGTGCCAGGTGTGTAGCCAACGCGTCTGGGGATATCTTCCTTCTTACCGTTTTGCCTATTGAAGAACAACGTAAATCACAGGTTTTGATTTGTTACAGGCGTTAACAAATTATTTTACACAAGATTATGTTATGATATTTCAGCAGCTTGCTTTGATTTTGTGTGTGTGTGTGTGTGTGTGTGTATAAGGGTTTCTTTTGTTGTTGGTAGTAGCTGAATTTAACTGGCATTTAATTTAATCTCTAACTTTGTTTTGTTGCGCTGTGCAGAATCAACAAAATAAATCATTTAAAGACCCTTACATCGTTTGTCTCGTTTATTTATTCATTTAAAAAGTGTTTGCGTACTCTGATAGATTCGGAATTTGGGGATGAAGGTTAGAAGTTAAATGATCGGGGTTCAAAATTTTAAAACAGTATCTCTTCATTTGTAAACGGATTCTATGAAAACGCAGCTGTAGTGCAAGTTCAGGCATGGGCTGCAAATGTAATGACGGTGGGTGTGTGAGTGGGTGGGTGGGTTGGGGCTGAGAGGCAATTCCAGGAATTACTTCTTAATCAGTCTTAGAGGAACATCTCTTTCAACTACAACTTCCTCCTCTACAAAATCAGTTAAATAACAAACAAATTTATCATAAAATTATTTTGTATCTCAACGTCTTTCTCAGAAATCCATGTTTGTTTGTTTTTATCTTAGTGGACACAAGTTTAAACAATATCACTCAGCTATGAACTTTACCCTGTAGTTTAAATAAGATTGGAGTTGCCTCCTCAGCAGTTAGGAGGTAAGGTAAGGAAAGCTCTCTTGTCCAATAGGTGATTTTAGTAAGAATTTGGAATAATGACTCACACATTTGCAGTATTTAGTAGACTGCATCCTGGAAACATTTCATAATCATTCATTAAACCCAACCATTGATTCGAGGTAGGGGAGTAGTAGTAGAGAAAGAATGTCCCCTTTACCTTAAGGAAAATTAAAGAAAGCCCACATGAGGTGACTTACTCCATTTTATCCACGTTGCTTTATCTGAGGCATTTAGTAAAAATGAGCATTTATTTGGAAATATGTTAAGGGAGGTGAGGAGGATGCTGCAAAGAGAATTTACTTCATCATTTGCTCTCAACTATTAACCTCAAGGTTGGTGGTTCAAATGCACCCAGCAGCACTGTGGAAGAAAGACCTGTTGTTCTTGTAAAGATTGTTGTTGTTAGTTGCTGATTCTGACTGGTGGCCACCCTATGTAAAGATTAAAGGCAGGAAAACCCAGTGAAGCAGTTTTACTCTGTAACACATGGGGTTGCCATTAGTGGGAAGTGACTCACAGCAGTGGGTTTACCATCACTGCTAAATGTCTATTTTCCCAAAGGGGAGGCATGAGAGAGCAATCAATCAATCAGCCAGCCAGTCAGTCAGTCAAATAAATAAATAAATAATAAACAAACAAACAAATAAATAACTCTATGTACCAACCTCTTTCAAGGAAGAAGTCTTCATTCTTTCTGGACTACTGCTACCAGGAAAGTCACAAGCTTTTTCAATACATAAATTTTACAGTGGCCTCTAGTATTTAGTGTCTATCTTTGCTTCCCTTGCATCTTGACATGGGACAGAAAGAAAAGTGAAAAATTAACAACTAAATCAAAACCAAAGCAAGTTTTCCCTGGGGGGAAAAAAAATTCTAAGAGTTAGAAAGAAAGATTTCCCTCTACAGTCCCAACTCCATCACCTAGATAATGGAGCTACCATAATTCTGAAAAACATCTCTTGAAAAAGAAAACCACAGAGCAGGAAGGGCATGGGTGGTGTGGTAAGGTGTTGTCTGCCCTTCTTTCTCCACTAGTAAATTGGAGAAAGCCCCCATGCCTAATGGGAAAGAAATGCTGTATGTGAATTTTTTTTTTTTTTTTAATTTAACTGAAAAATCTCATCCCATCATGGCTTCCAGAGTTGCTAAAGATTTTGACTGAATTTAACAAGGATATGCAGGACTGGTTTAGACATCTTCAAAATAATTCTTAAATTATCTGCCTCCAGGTAGCATCTTGCTGGTTAGTCTGCCAAGCAAAATAAACAGACATTTTCCTTATAAGGAGTTTACATTCTAAAAATGGCATAGCAGGCATTCAGGAGTCTGTAGGACAAAAGAGATGTAAGATACACTGTGTCAATAGTGCAAAGCTGAACCTCTCTACATATGTCTATGACAAAATATGTATTTTGTAGGCACAAGATTTAGGCTTAGACATGTGCTGTGGAGCATGGAGTTGATATGTGGTGGGGTGTGATTTTTTTTCAGACATCTGCAGTGCCAGGCCATGCCTGCAAAGGGGCTCGCTGAATTGACCCCCCTTGCTTGTGTTGAGCTGGAGCAGGATTTGTGTAGGAGTAACATGTTGAAGTTGGTCTTTGAAGGAGATGAAGGTGTTAGACAGGCTCCTTGAGGCAGACTGCACCATGCCTCAGAAGCAAGAGGAAAAGGACTGTGTGGCTCACTGCCAAAGAAGGTCCCTACACCCAACCGAACACCAACATGCTGTCCCAGTGATTAGAGTGAACAGAACCTGAGGGGAAAATACAAAAGGCCCTGAGAAATTAGGTTGTTATATGTGTTGCAGGCCAGGTGAGCAATCAGTAAACAGAGAGCAGATTAAATGCACTATGGGATTTACCTCACCCATGGTGTTGGTCTATTTACAGGTCTTCTCCTCTAAGGGAAACTGATTACACCAGGTATGAAAATATCACCTTGTGAAATAGAGAACTTAGTAAGGGTTGCCATCAAGGAAGAGGTTCCACCTCAAGCACAGAAAAGATTTTAATTTGCCAAGGTTCAGATTATGAGCAACAATGTTTGCACATTACCCATCTAGTTTGGGGGGTTTCATCTTTGCTGATGGCCCAGGTATGCACAGGATGCTGGCATAAGCTGTAGGCGATATCCAGAACTTCAACCTACTAGCTAGACCTCCTAGAGCTCCTATTATATTGAGGAAAGCAGACCATAGAGGAAGCCAGCCAGAAGGCTGGTGCCTTTTTTCTTTGTTTTTTATCCAACATATAAGGATACTTTATGAAGTTGCCGAGAACAACTTGATGGGTAGAATCAAACCAGACCAGCTACCATCAAGTTGATTCCCACTCTTGGCAACCTCATGTATGTCAGAGTAGGACTATGATCCATAGGGTTTTCAATGATGTGATCTTTCACAAGTAGCTCACCAGGCCTTCCTTCCACGGTGCCTCTGGTGGATTCAAACTACTAACCTTTTAGTAAATAGCTGAGGTTAGGAAGAGCTGTTACATCAATGCTCTGGTCATTGAAGCATACATTGCAGCTTCCGGGAAAGTGCCTTTCCTCCATGGGTGTCTTCTCGCTCATTCATTGCCTCTCCCTCTTCTGTGCACTCAATAAACAGTCAGCAAAAAGATGACAACATTCACTGAAGTAGGCTCATAAAGCAACAGAGTGCAAAACGCCTTGTTTTCTAAAACACAAAATCATTTTCATGAAGCAGGTTTTAGTTGTAGGAAGAGTCATTAGAAATCTTATTTTAGTACACTCCAGTGTATCTCATGAAATAAGACGTGTGGGAATAGAGGAGCAAGATGTTCTTCAAGATCTACACACAAACTAGTCTCATTAATTATGGCAAAGTTGCAAATTCATTCTTAAATCAGTGCTCATTCTGTCACTTTCAACTGCACCCAAGTAAAACCTGAAATGCTCGATCAAAAATTAAGTCCCATTCTTTCTGTGCTTGCAGGTTTAACAGCTCCATCAGAATGCTTCCCCCTTTGCCTCCTCCTGGTGCTGACCAGCCAAACCCTGAGCTCTGACCGAAAAATCAAACACAAAAACCAGTTGTGGTCGAGTCGATTCTGATTCCTGACGACCTCCATGTGAGTCCGAGTAGAACTGTGCTC